GTGAAATGCGACTACTGAAAACTCCTCTTTATCCCTGCAATTCGCATCTGAGGCAAAGAATCCGTGTGTGAGACAGCGCTGAAGCTAAAAATGGCTCTCACAGTTATCACAAGAATGCTCAGTTATGGGCAAAAGCTTTAGGCAGGACTTGAACCCGCACCTCACTCTTTCTCGTTGAGTACGCAAGCTTCTTAGCTGTGAGACTATCGCTTTCTCAAGGCATTTAACCTAAGTTTTCCAATTCTCGTGAGGCGGGTCCCACATTTCCCTTAGAAAACGGAATGCGTTCAAGCAGAAGGCAAATGCACAACGAATGCGAGAGAAAATTCGTTAGCGTTAGCACGACCTGTCACCTTTTTTTTGTACCCATCTCCCCTACCTTTTCTCATTAAAACGTAATTAGACGTTTCGTCGTCTTTGCAAATACCAATTATAGGACGCCTAGGGTTTTCAGCTTCCATGAAAAAAACCCCAATATCGTGACGCTTTATTTTTCCACTATACATGAGCAAAATGTCAAAACACATGTTTAGAACCTATCCAGCCTCAAAACAATTGCACCAATATGACGGCAAAATACACGCGCCCTTGGATTGCCTGGTATTGATTCCTTGCATATCAACTTATGACTCACAAGAGGCAATTGAGCATCCATTTCATGCCTAATTGTCCGGCAGAACCGCTTTTCATTCCGGATAGGCTGACTTTGAAGGTGGCAGTCTTGGAGGCGCAGTCACTGTATCATTCATATCTTTACAGACATACATTCAAATCTATGGGTCAGCGGACCGTTCCTTTAATTGTGATTCTTGAACACTACAAGATGTTGGCACAGAGCATGCCATGGCGTACTGTGGAACTAGCCTGAAGTCTATTTCGCTCTAAACTTGAATAGTGTACCAGCTCTTTTCTTTTCTGGCTGGGTCAGCAAAAAGGCTACAGAATGCCTCTTCTATTTCTAGTTTCTGTTGCCGAGACGCGATCTAGGCCCAAATCTTAGGCGAAGACATGGGCAAACACCCACCGGATCATGAAGAGCCCTCATTCCTTCTTCGTACGGTGATCAAGGAGGGACACTCAAATGTAAGCAACCAATGGATGTTCCGACAGCGCTCACACAACCAAATTAAACACGCCTTCGAAGACGCCTTTCAGCTTACTTGTGAGCGGCACAGCCTGGTAAGGGCAAGAGGGTGTGTGCATCCGCTATTGTAGAGCCCTTGTGCTCAACCCCCCCCCCCTCCCATAAAAAAGTTGTAAATGCGGACTGAATGACAAAACTGAACTTTTGACCCAAGAAACTTATGTGCATTCTTCCGCTCAAATGTGCACGGCCCGGTAGGGGCTGGAGTTAGTCGTACCCTGACTGTCGTTTTCAGATATCACCTGGCCTTGCGACATGGCCATCACACGCCAAGCCATAGGCAACGCGATACTTGTAAAGACCACTTGTTAAGACCGATGTAGTCGTGTATCGTGGCGAGATCTTGTATATCGACGGAAGTGTTGCCACTTATGAGGATGGCGCGCGGACAGTGGAGACGAAACCGTTATTTTTCGTTTCCCGGGTACAATTGAGCAGAAGAGAGAGGCATGCCTTAATTGCAGCTGCGGACCCACTCTCCTTGAAAGGAAGCGTTCCTTGGATGTGAGTGTAGAGCATGTCTGGCCAGTTCGGCGACGAGAGGGGGGCGCGGATGTTTACTACATCGGATGTGTCGACTCAGCTAGATAGGCTTTCTATGAGTTGACACCGTTTTACCATTGGTGGCTAGGCGAGTTGGTCCGCGTTTCACAAGATGTTCACAAGTTGACAGAGTGAAGATTTGTGAAGAGTAGTGAGAAGCAGTGAAAATCCCACCCCTCCCCCCTCCCGCCCTCCCGTTCGCCGAACTGCCCGCCGTTTATCTTCAAGGTGGCCTCGTTCTCGCCTGACGAGTGTATCTGTCATTCTGCCTCTTTTGTTCGTTCTTTCGCTTACTCAGAAAGGTCTGGCCTTAACACTTGACGACATCTGAGGCCACCGCGGCTGCTCATGAGGGCTTGCCGACTCAGTGGGCCGACGTGCGGACAGACCTGAGCCACCGGTGGCGCATACTTTCTCCATCAATTTTTGGGTTACTGCCGCAGTCTCAACCGATTCTTTTTCTTGCTTCGAGTAGTGCGAAGCTGAGTTTCAACAAAGATGAGCAAGAAAAACCTGTCGCTGCCCTCACAATATTTTGAAATAAAAATTGAATATTTCAAATAGGTTATATGCTGTATGCCGAAACCTTCAATATTAGTATCTTTTTGGTCACGAAACCTGATGGCGCATGGGATAGCGCAGGACCGGTCTTGATTTCTGAACGTGGAGATCGCAGTCGTCTTATTGCCCATATGGCCGCCCGGTAGGCGCCCACATTTGGCGCTAGCAGGGTTTGGTTGACACCAAATCCGATTTAGAAGGGCTCTTTACACCTTTATGGTTATTTGACATTCTTGATCACGAATGCTTATCGTTACCTTCCGAATTTGGCGCCACTGGCACATCGCGATGGCCATGTTGGCGCCACGATCTTTTTGCACGAATTTGCGTACGAACTCGAACACGCCGGTTATTGGCATCCTTGGGTCACGACGTATCATTTATGCCTTAGTATATAACGCGCCGTTTTGGTGATCTTGAGATGGTGGAAAAGTGATAAAAATATGAAAATAGTATATAAAATATTGCTGGAAACCCCCGAAATCGATCTAAATGGGCGAACTAAGTGTGGCGAACCTCTATAATCTCTCGTGCATTTGCTCGTCTGTGAGCAATATGTGAGAGTAGGCTGTTTGAAAGCGTCACGTTTGCAGATAACGTCTGAACAATTTAAATATAAAACAAAAACCTGCCTGCAGGTTAAAAGTGGGCAGTAGTGGCGGCTATGTGTCAGCCTGCTGCGCCATCAATGAAATCATGTGTAATTGTGTTAAAAAGTCATGCAAGTTAACAAAGAAAATTCTTAGGAAAACGGGTGTTATGGTACACATTTTGGCAAATACACACGATCGCCAGCTGAAAAGTTAAGGGCGTGATCGCAAGTGAGCGGGCATGAAGTGGAAATCAATCAGAAAGGTCAAATATGAAAATCGAAAATAAAGCCAGTCCAACTGCAACGAAACTGACTTATCATTCTGAAAAACGAAATTTGACAATAAAAAACAAGAACGCAAAAAAAGGATGGTCCACGAGGAACAACCTGAGCACCGATAGGCTCAGGAACAAGACAGCACAAAAGCAGAAAAAAAGCAACAGCAACGTTTCACACACAGTAGACGACAAATTAAAATCCACGACAAAGTACGCCGAAAAAAAAAATAGTAGTCAAAACGTGTAAATACCAAGCGAATCTCTCGCCATTCTAAAGCTTCAGAAGAAAGACACACAAAACAGTCTCTAAACTTGAAAAGTCCAGCAATTCGAAGGCGCTCTTACTTTTTGCTTCAATGCCTGTGAGTCCCCAGTACGTACCACACATTCTCACGAGCGTTATCGCCTAAAAGTGCCTAAAAAAAACTAGTGCATACAAACAGCATATATATTACTGAAACAAGATGGAGTGATTATTATTTTACTTCATTTATGAACACAGTAAAGATGGAGAATAGCCTCAAAGTCAAGAAAATCTTCTAGCTAAATACATATATCACATTCTCTATAACCATCCAAGCATTCAGTATACTCACATCAATGACCCTGTTTTTTGGAACTAAGTAACATAGTGAAAGATGCAGTTCATGATGAGCATAATATAACGCCCTCCGTCTCCCTCCAGAAAGCCGACGAAGACAATACGAGACCCCAACCTCCAAAAAATGATTCAGAATAAACATCACCCTCCCTCCTTCACCAAACGCGCGTCCAAAATGCAAGCCGAAGAAAAAAATCAACTAATCAAAATAAATTTTTCTCCAAAATTACGACCCCCTCACCTCCTAGGCCGACCAAAATAAACGACCACCTCTATTAAGGAATTTTTCCAACAACAGATGTACTCGATTTACCCTAATCACTGTGCGTGTGTTGAACTATACCTGCCAATTCCTGATATGAAGCTAGTGCGTCCAACGACTCTTGACAAAGAGATTAGTTATCTCAAAGGTTCAACCAAGCAGGAAGCGATGCAAAGTCAGCCAAAGGAACTAGGAAAAAGAAAAATAACACAAAGTGCACTGCCCACCCCCCTCAAGAATGCACTGACCCGTACAACGTACCTTCCGCCCCTGCACATGACTCCCCAGCCGAGACTACACCATCACATTCCCAGTATTATAAACCTGTCTCGAACCTACATCAGAAATCAGCGATCCTTTGAATATTGCAAGAGAATACACCAAATATCGGACCCCATCCAGGACGTATAACAAAACAAAAGCATCAGAACGGCCGTCAAAAAAAGCGAAAAAGTTCGAACGCAAACTCACCAGCCTTTATACACTTGACACTACTTACCATCGCCTCCAACTTCTGGAACTGTCATAGATATTCTATCCCATAAATGATCTGCCAGCGTATAAGGCCCAATTTATTTAGGCCAATGTCCACGGAGATTACTCGACAACAAAAGCGTACCGAGCGAAATGTAGGTTTTCGAACAATTTCCCTCCCCCCAGCCTTTTCCCCCTCAGCATAAATTTCACTCTTTGGGATTCAATAAATGAACAATTTTTTCTCCTTTTCTCCTCATTATTGAGTAACCTAGCATCTTGTCATTTGTCATTTAGTCCCACTGCTTACCATTCCTGACAGATTTCAGAGTCCGCGAACCGATGCTACCGTAACCTGAACGGTGGCAAGATCTTCGTCCCCTGTCTAAGCGTCGAGCGCGCGGATTTCTCTCACCATTCACAACATCCAGCTAGCCGCCCTCGACCGTCTTACTCATGAAAACATGGGAATTTTTATTATCAGTGATACATATTTCCATGGTTTTGTCCCATGACAACGGCAATATCAGATAGTTTCTTGTTTCTTAGGGCTTCACCTCACGTACGAATCGTCCACGTGCATCACGTAACCGTCCACGACTATCTCGTTTCAGTCTTCTGAAAATTAACCAAATCGTCGTCATCACAACGAACCAGTGGTGTTTTTCTACTCTGCAAAGCCTTGCTACTGTAGCTGGCATACTGTAATATTGATTTTGTGCCCATATAACAGGAACGGGATGTCTGCTATAGCTCGTGTGGAGCACTCTCACCTGAGAAGGGGGCATGAGAAGAACGTGTACTTTCCCTTACGGCATGAAAAGGACTTCAACTTCCCCTTCAGCACAAGTATGGATGGTGTGGTTATTGATTTCGTGCACGGAAAACCATTCTCATTCGGAAAGTGTAAGTAATGAGGAACGGGATATATTGTGAAACAAAGTTGAAAGAACTGGTTTCATACTTTGCCGTAGGCTCCACAGTTTCTTTCTTAACCTCTTTGCTGGAAGTGAGGTTTGCAAGTGTTTCGGGCAACTCTACGGGGCTCTCCTCCGTTTTCGTGGCATCCTTCGCCTCTTTAGTTTCACGTTGCGAGGATTTTCGAGCTGATACCTTTTTCAGAGAACTACTTGGTCTGCAAGTAAGGTTGTTGGAGAGTTGCGAGTATGTTTCGAAGGATCAGAGCTCACTTAGCTGCTTTCTTGAGCGTCGGCGAAAAAACCACACGCTTACAAGCGATTGTTGCAAGAGCCTTCCCCTTCTCGTCTGCATCTATAAGTGTTCCAATATGGATCTCTGGTAGAGGGCTTAGAGAACTCACTAACGCACATGAAATGGACTTCTTTGACCTTTCGTTGGAACTTTCTTCCCTCACTTCTCCGGCTTTTTGCACGAGCCGAGCGACTGCATTTCGGGCGTGATGACGACTGATGGCTCCTTCGGCGTGACGACTGATGGCTCGATCGGTGTGACGAGCAATGATGGCTTGATCGGCGTGACGAGTGATGGCTTCTCTTCGTGCTATGGCGATATCCACGACTATGGTAATGCGAAGGCATGGTTAGTAAATGAAAAGACGTGTTTCAACCGCTTTTATACCTCTGACCGCTTATCATCTTCTTATCGCTACCAGAGCCCACGTATCATACAATGTTGTTGATCAACAGGTCTCACGAAAAGCGAAAGTCAAAAGATCAACTCAGCGCTCACTCCACGGCTGTTCTGCAGGGCCAACTAAATTTCCGTAATTAACCTGCACCTGGTCCAATCCTGGCCTACCTTGTATAAGTGGTGGCCACTCTTGTTTTCATCCGCACACTTCATCCTCACTGCTTCACTTCACTTCATCCTCACTGCTTTCATCCATACTCTTCTCCGGTCCGCGATAAGGAACGTAGGTCATGGTGTTGAAGTATGGATGAGATGCAGTTAAGTGATTCGTGCTTGGAGAGAAAATGCCAACGGTAACGTCGAAAACGCCTTCAGATGGTGTATTGGCAAGTGGCACGCTTACCCTGCCTCCAGTCTGGCGGGGGGGGGGTAGAAATCGCGAATCGCTCTGGCCAGGCTCAACAAGATTTCTACCCTCCGGAAACGGTGGACTGTTACCGGATTCGCCTGAGATGCTAAGAAACACCACATGAACATCGGCTGCCCCCCCCCCAACTCATGTTTTAGCGCCGCATAGCTTCCAATGATCCACTTCGATTCTGAATGGAACTACACTCGAAAAATTCTGAGAATGTGATAGGCGTGGTTGCGTACTCAACAAAGCGTGGGCGCCGCCGTTTTCAGGGGAGATACTATCATTCTGTCACAATTGTGGCCATCTCTATCGAACACAGAACAATGACAGTTTCCGAAACTGAAATCTTCCACGAATAGCCCAAGAACAATACAGGAAATCATAGATTTGTCCGATATTTTTGCTGTCGACTTTCAAAGGCACATATCATGATAAGCGCGTATGAGCAGACGCCTTCCTTGGTGCAAAGCTGTTCGGTTCACAGCTCAGGGGAAAAACTGGTAAGGGTGCTAGGTGACTCGTGCTGAAGATGATGCTCGCCCGCTACTTAACGCTACGCTCAAATGTTTTTTTGAACCGCTCCCTATGTTGTGGTTGCTCTGCAAAAAGGTGTTCCTAGTTCCGAATTAAGAGGATCGCGTTATAGGGTGTATCATTATGATGTCAACGAAGGAGCACTCTTCCAAAACACCTCTGCAATCTCCTTATGATCCCTTCAAGTTTGAATTGCAAGCAGATCCTACCTGAGGCAATTAGGAACCCGCTTTCTCTCTTCCCATCTTGCAGTTAGGAACATAANGTTTTCTGCTTCTGCGTTAATGTGCTAGTTGCATGCAAAGGCAAGCGTGGACGGAGAAAAACACCAGTGCTCAATCCGATCCCTCCCCTTTGCTGTGGAGCCTAAACATGACCCTCTGCGATGGACGTCACCGCATTCTTTATCTCGGTTGTTCAGTCTTGGAGATGGATTTCTGCATAACTGCACAAACAAGTTAATTTTTCTTCGCCACGGTGCAATCATGCAAAAATAACGTTTTCGAGAAGTATATCTCCGTCACTTCTCTTTCTCTAAAGGTTAGCTGCCGGTTGGGAGATCCACGTTGCAACGAACTTACGTTTTAGCCAGTATTTCTTGATTAGCTGACGTGTTGGAGCTTTTTTAATAAATCAGTTACGTCGTGGTGCGAATGCCGCGCCCGCATCGCCATTTTTGTCTCGTCCGCGGCGTGTATTACCCAACTGGCAAACTAAGAACTTCGTCGTTAGTTTTGGTACTGTGAAACTTTTTGGGATTTTATGAACTGAATGCGTTAAATTGATATTAGACGTTGCTAGCTTCGATTATGTTTATGTTTCATAATAGTAGGCCTAGAGGCTTCTCTTCAAGTGCTCATTCTGCAAGATACGATGAAAGTAGTGACAATGAACAGTAAATTCAGTTTTATATCTGGACAAGCAAAATAAGCTACAAAACTATGGCTTTCCACTAGGGACCCTCAATGAAGAACATTCCGATTTGATCCAACAGATGTGCAGATATCCGGAGGTCCAGCTTCTCATCATTGACGGTCTCGGTATAAATTAAGCCTTTCTGCGTGGTAATTTGGAGAAGGTGCCAAACCTCTTGGTTCTTCGGTTCTTAGAACAGTCCCGATGGTCCCGGCCACCTTTGCATTTCCAATGGAAAATACACTAGGTGGTGGCACGAGATTTTGCCGTTCTCCGCGTTCACTTAAAGGAACGGTCCGCGATCAGGTATCGAAGATGAAAATATGGCATCGGGAGGGTAGTGCGATTCGCGACGAACAACCCTGTACCGTTTTCGCGGCAAAAAAGTGCAGGGGAGGGGCGCTATAAGGCAAAATAGGTCCAGTGGTTCCTCCTTTTTTTTCCAGTGACTCCGCCTCCCAAGCGCCGCCCTTCAGTGAAAAACCAAGTTGTGGGACGAGAAAAGCATGAAAATCTAAGCGGCTTCGTTATTTGTACGGACGTAGGGTTGTATTGAGTCAGCTGGGCGCGCGGAGTGGTAAAACTGGAAAAGTACTGCAAAAAGTGTTGTATTGCAGAAGTGCTGAAATGTTGGAAGAAAATAGCAACATTTTGAATTTGAAAAGCAATACACAAACTCAAAAAGAACAAAGAAACATAATGATACGACGAATTCACTGAAAAAATAAGAATATTAAAGGACAGTCTTTAAAACGTGGCGCCACACCTATTTCTGGCAGCGAGCCAATAACGTGGAACGCTCGTCCATAAGCGCTGTTTCCCCATCGTATGCACGTGCAAACTAGGATTGTAATAGCGCCCTATCTAGGTCATTGGGCATGTTTTTTTCTGCTTTTTCCTTCACTAATGTTTTACTCTAAACCTTGTCCTTTTTATGCGAAGCCTATATTCACAATCTAAGATGGCAAATGAGCGCGGGCTTTGTCTTTAAAGGTTCGGTCCACGATCAGGTATGGAAGTTGAAAATATGGCATCGTTAGGGTAGCGTGGTCCGCGACAAACAACCTTGTACTGGTTTCGCGGCAAAAAAATTGTAAGGGAGGGGGGCTACGACGTAGTAAATGTTCAGTGACGCCTCCTTTTTTCGCAGTGACTCCGTCTCCAGACTCCGCCTTCGAGGATGTGTCTGTCTTTCTGCATCCGCGAAATATCCCATGAATATGCTAAGGAGAGCGGTTTAGTCGAGGGACCGTTCACTTAACTAAGCATGAGTTATGATGACCCCCCCCTCCCTTCCTTATTTTGTCTAACACCCAGATCTCATTGGTGCACTTGCACCTACCCTATAATTTGAAAGGATCACAGGAAGCGGAGAGGGAAAGCTCGAGCGCAAGCACAACTAATTCATGAACCGAGAGGGTGAGGACAGAAAAACATGAAGATCGTTACTTGTGCGGCTGTAGATTCCTTATTGGGGAATCAGATGTGCGGATGTGGTCAGAGAGGGAGATGGAGTTCCTTGGGCATGTACCACCTGGGATCAAAATGGGGTTCTATCTGAGGCTGGGCAGGCTTGGCATTGTTCTGCTTTTTTGTTCACTATCAAGTTACTCAGAGCCTTGTCGTCTGTGCAAACCTCTAACCCACCATCTGTGATGGCGATTAAATCGCAGGCTTTGCCTTTAATCAGCAACTGTACGATGAAGGGGGGAGAATGATCAGTTATTTGTTTTCCCCGGTTTCAGTCGAGTTAATTGACAAATGAAGTGAATCCAGAAGCTTCTTTGGGTTGTATGCTGGGAACCCTCAGCGGGGGTCCTATTTGGCCGCTGGAGAGGGTAGCGGGAGATTTCTAGGTTCATCCGCCTTCCATAAGTCTGCAGTCTAGAAATTACTATTTGATAGTTGATCGGAAGAGTCAAGCCTATCCCAGTCCGTTCCATGAGAAATTTCTGAAAAAGTTTGGTGATGAATCGTTGGTTGTGGAAGGGGGGGGAGGGAAAGGGAAGAGGAGGTGAAAATCTGGAGAATGATCGTATCTAACATAAATTTGCCCCAACCCCAGGACGTCCCCTGGTTGTGGTTAACAGCAATATTGGAGGAGACTGAAGAAATAGAGCAAACATGCAAACTATCGCCATTCGTTATGCTCATTAGGTTGTGCTGTAGAAACAACATCTGTTAGGGATCCCATTATCCTCTCCCATTTTACAGCGTCCTTCTAATGGGCATGAGAAGAAACAACGTTTATGGGAAATGATGGGAATGATCATCGGTAGGGGCGACTAATAGCTTTCCACTGAACAGTTTGCCTCAACAGATACACAGTTGACTCATCTCTTCCGTTCTGTAACTCGGTAACACCTTTCTTCACTATGCAGGGTATCCACGAATGGAATTTTCATTATTGATAGAGAGGATTTAGACTAGTTTTCAAATGTTTACACTGTTGGTTCTATACTTATCCTTCAATTTGGGAATATACATATATCAGCTTTTAGAGGACGCTTATCAGGCAGCATGAGTTTGGTGCCAAGTCCCGCTCGTTCTGCGCCAGCTGTTGAAGAGAACCAGCGATACAACTGTATCATACCGTTCGCATCAGGCGTTCCACCAAATGGAGTGTGGCTACCCACTTGAACATCAGGTGAAAAACGGATTTGGAAGCTCATCCTGCCTGGCATGCCATTTATTCGCACGAACTAGATTGCAGACATTTTGGCATTCCGCTGGCAGCTTTTGGCAGGCGCCATCGAACTTTATGCGCTTGGCACTACAAGACAATAGTCTTTTTCGCTGCAGATGCTCGGGCGTGCCAGGGGCTTGGTTTGGCCAGATCGTCTTGTATTTATTGTTGTTGCTGCTCCTTTCAACACTTGTCTCCCTGACCTGTCCCACCGTCTGCGCTGTAGGTGTGCTACATCTAACCTGATAGAGAAACGGTGTTAGCACCACCTCAGACCAAAATGAAATCGAAGTAAGCGGTGATTCGGCGAAAGGGGGGGGGTATCATGCACTGGTGTCAACCCATCTAGACGGCCTCTTCTCGAGTTAGCAAGTTTACCACAATGACTTGACGAGCTT